CCTGCAGGGGAGAGGGCCCAAGGCGGCTTGAATTTCAAGACTCTGGATGGTGGGGCTGGTGGCGGGGGAAGCAGCCCACCACTTCTCAGAGCAGTTGCTGAGAAAGTGGAAGGGGAGCAGTGGCTCATGATGGTAGGTGGGAGGACCATGAGGAGACCCCCAGACTCTTTTTTTTTTTTTGAGTTAGAATCTCACTTTGTCACCCAGGCTGGAGTGCAGTGGTATGCTCCCGGCCACTGCAGCCTCAACCTGCTGGGCTTAGGCGATCCTGCCGCCTCAGCCTTCCAAGTAGCTGGAACCACAGTCACACGCTACCACACCCAGCTAATTTTTGATTTATTGTAGAGATGAGGTCTCATCAAGTTGCCTGGGCTGCTCTCGAACCTGCGGGCTCAGGCAATCCACTCACCTCGGCCTCCCAAAGTGCTGGGATTATAGACTGAGCCACCAAGCCTGGCCTAATTTTTTGGTTTATGGTGGAGATGAGGTCTTGCCAAGTTGCCCAGGCTGCTCTCAAACCCCTAGACTCAGGCAATGCTCTTACCTCTGCCGCCCAAAGTCCTGGGATTGCAGGCGTGAGCCACCACGCCCGGCTCAGACTCTCTTTGTTGAGCCCCACCCAGCAGCCTGTGCTCCCCCACCCCCACTCCTTGCCTTCTTTCTCCTCAGGAATGGACTGTGTTCCTTTGTTTACCTGGGGGTGAGCTGGGTCCCCATGTGGGCCCTTCCTTATCCCCGCCTGGGCGGATGCCTGGGCTGGACTGTGTATTTCCGGAGTTGCCTACTTGAATCACAGGCTTTTATTTTTAGAAGATTGCAAATGCGGGGGCTGTAAGGAGAAGACTGAGGGGCCGGAGCTGGGATAGGGAAGATTTGGGGGGGGGGGGCTGAATATGGTGTATAATGGGGCTAAGGTTGGGCAGTAAAGGGAATCAGTGAGACGGTGGGAAAACGAGGTGAGGAAGTAGGAGGGGTCTCACTCTCCCAGCGCCCTGAGAGCCCTGCACAAGGATCAGAGTCTTCACACAGCTAGGAAGGGCCTGTGGAGGGGACCAGGTCAAGGGCCACCTCTCTGGCATGTAGCTGGATCCCCAGGGAGGCTGAGGAGCCTGGGAAAGAGAGGAGAAACTCGCTCCCCTCCCCCTCCCCAGAGGCCTTGGGACTGGGAGAGAAGCTTCCTGTGCAGACAAGGCCTGTCCTCTGGGCTGGGTACGCCTTAACCCCTCTGGTGCTGGTATCAGAGAAAGCAGAGAGCAACACAGATGTGCACACATGATCTCGCAGCGTGGCCCAAATGCCCAGGCCTTTCTCTTGCTCTGACGGTTCAACATACTCGTCCCAGCTCCAGATCCCAAAGCCCCAGATTCCCAAAGCAGCAAGAATTCAGCTGATTTGCTGGGTTTCGTGGCTCAGACTGTAATCTCAGCACTTTGGGAGGCCGAGGAGAGTGGATTGACTGAGCTCACAGGTTCAAGAGCAGCCCGGGCAACTTGGCGAGTCCTCGTGTCTACAATAAATCAAAAATTAGTGGGTGTGGTAGCACGTGCCTGTAGTTCCGGCTATTTGGAAGGCTGAGGCAGAGGGATTGCCGGAGCCCAGCAGGTGGAGGCTGTGGTGGCTGGAAGCGTGCCACTGCACGCTAGTCTGGGTGACAGAGTGAGACTCCAACTCAAAACAAAAACAAAAACAAAGAATTCGGCTGATTCTCTTCCCCCAGAGCAGGGAATGAGGGACATGGGTGGCACAGCCTCTATTCTTTCACTATTGGTGGTGAGGGGGTATCAGACAGAACCTGGAGCTTGTCAAGTTAGGGAGTTCCCATCCTGCAGCAAATGGGGGCCCAGGCTGAGAGGAAACCAGCCTTAAGGTCAGGACCTGGTTTGTATTTGTGTCTCTGTGTGTAACCTTGGGGAGTTGCTTAACTCTCACAACTTCAGATACAGCCTCTGAAAACACAAGGAAATCAAGCTAGAGAGAGCCTGGTGCCGAAAGGGGCAGAGAAAGGATATCTTCTGGTCTTTCATTCCCTGGAATCCCTTGACCGAGGCAGCCACAAGTCTCCAGACACAGAACTTCAGGGCTTTCCTCTCCATCTGCTCCATAAAGGCAAGAAGCCATGTGCTTTCTCCACCCCTGAATAAGCGGCCCAGTGTGGGACCTTGTACACGCTTGGCTTCCTATAAGCTTGAGCTATACAAATAAATAGATAAATGACCCACCTTGACTTGGATGTTTTTTTCTCTTTCTTTCTTTTGTTTTTTTGAGTTGGAGTCTCACTCTGTCGCCCAGACTGAAGTGCAGTGGCCGCTCCCGGCCACCGCAGCCTGGACCTGCTGGGCTCCGGCGATCCTTCCGCGTAGCCGGGAATTACAGGCATGCGCTACCACGCCCTGCTGATTTTTTGATTTATTGTAGAGACCCAGGCGGGTCTCGAACCTGTGGGCTCAGGCAATCCACTCACCCCAGCCCCCCAAAGGCATGGGATTACAGGCTGAGCCACCGAGCCTGGTTTTGTTTTTTCTCTTTCTATTGTCTCCTCAAGAGTACCAGAGAGGAAGTCAGAAGGACCCTGTCTGGGTTCAAGTCCTGACTGCTACTTACCAATTGCGAGGCCTTGGTCAAGTCACACTGCTTCTCCAAGCCTCAATTTCATGTATCTGTAAAATGGAGATTAGAAATAAAACATTGGCCGGGTGCAGTGGCTCACGTCTATAATCCCAGCACTTTGGGAGGCCGAGGTGAGAGGATTGCCTGAGCCCACAGGTTCGAGACCACCCTGGGCAACTTGGCGAGACCACATCTCTACAATAAATCAAAAAATTAGTTGGGCATGGTGGCACGTGCCTTAGTTCTAGCTCCTTGGAAGGCTGAGGCAGAAGGATCACCTGAGCCCAGCAGGTCGAGGCTGCGGTGGCCGTGAGCGTGCCACTGCACTCCAGCCTGGGTGACAGAGTGAGACTCCAACTTAAAAAAAAAAAAAGAAATAAATGAAACATCTACCTTCTGAACCTGCTGTCAGGAAAATCCCAAAAATCTTTGTAAACTCTAAGGTGATATACAAAAGCGAGTAGTACTGCTATCAGTAACAGCACTGTTAGTCTTAGACCTAGTTCAGAGGTCTGATGAAGTGTGATGGTTTTGAGCCTGAAGTGGTTTGAAGAATGTGTGACCTTGGGCAAGTTTAATCTCTTTAAGTCTCAGTTATCTCATCTGCAAAATGGGGAATCTAATGGTACCTACAACAAAAGGCTGTTGTGACTGTAAATGAGATAGTACACACAAGCAGGCTGGTGCAGGGCGAACTCCATAAATAAGGCTATTGTTACTGTCACCTCCCTCCATGAATGCCTCTGGCAGCTTCACCCCCACCTTCCCACCCTCCTTGCATGGTGACAGATAGTCCCGGCTCTTGACTGTGGAGCATTTGGATGAACATGCATTTCCCAGAGGCTGCCAGCCTGACAACACTGAAAGGAGAGGCGCAGGAGCAGGGCTGCCGAGGGGGGACCAGCGGCTGAGGGGCTGTGGAGGGACTGTGAGGCAGCTGGGGAAGGTAGGGGACAGAGAAGGGTCAGAGGCCGACTTGGCAGCCCCCACCAGCCGCCCCAGATCAAGTCTGCTCAGCCTGCCAGGCTGGGCGGGCGCATTGACGTTGGGAGCTGCTTATCAGGTTAGAGCGGAGCCACTGTCTCTGCACATTACCCGACCCATCCGTCCTGCTCTCCCGTGCGCCCTGCCTGCCCCCAGCTCTGCCTGCGCTAACTAGTTAATTGGATCTTGGCTAACCTGGTTATGGGCCAAGTCAGCCAGCTCCTCGCCTCCAGAAAAAGGGGTGGGGGAGGGGTGGAGTGGCTGTGCATGTGTGTGCGTGAGCATGTGTGTCTGTGTGGGATCCGGTCTTGGAGCTCCTGGAACCCATGGTGGCTGCATCTTGGCACCTGAGGTAAGCCCAGAAATCCCTGTCCCACTGTGACAGGTGGAAGGCATGGAGTCCCAAGACCCTATTCCAAAGTCCAGCTCTGCCACGGACAATCTGTAGGACTGTGGTGGGGGTGTAGCTGAGCCTCAGCTTCCTCTTCTGTAAAATGGGGATTATAAAATGTACCACTGGCTGGGCGTGGTGATTTATGCCTGTAATCCCAATACTTTGGGAGGCTTTCATGAGCCCAAGAGTTTGAAACTAGACTAGGCAACAAAAAGTTTTTGTGAAAATTATCCAGTTGTGGTAGCGTGGTTCCAGCTACTCAGGAGACTGAGATATAAGGATTGCTTGAACCCAGAAGGTCGAGACTATCCTAGGCAATGTAGCAAGACCTTGTCTCTACAAAAAAAAAAAAAAAATTAGCCGGGCATGGGTCTTAGCTATTCAGGAGGATGAGACCAAAGGATTGAACCGAGCAGGTCAAGGCTTCAGTGAGTTGTGATGGTGCCACTGCATTCTAGGCTGGGCGACAGAGTGAGGCCCTGACTCAAAAACAAAACAAAACAAAAAGTACCACCAAGGGTGTCTGTGAAGACCAAGAGAAAGAGCATCTGTGTCAGAGCCTGGCACTTAGCAAGCACTCTGTGAATTCTAACTGTGATCACCATCATCTACGTCTCGCTGGGATCCTGTGGCTCCTCCCCAGTCCTGGGATGGGGCTGGGAAAAGCTCAGAGTGGGGGGCAGGAGCGGCTCTCATTCACAGTTCTTTGCAGGTGCTTCCTCTGAGGCTCGGCTCCAATCTCCTCAATTGTTCCTTATGCAAATGTTATGCTAATGATCACGTCAGAGCCTCCGCTGTGCCCAGGCTGGGAAGGTGAGGGGTGGGCTGAGTCCCCAGCATTCCCTTTGGCCAAGTCCATCCCCGTGCGCCCCCAAAGAGGAGCAAATGCCAGTTCTCTGACAGCACCAGTCTTCAGGGCAGAGAGAGAGAACGAGCCCCATCGAGAGAGAAACAAAGGCTGGAGTCCTGGTAGGAGACGGACAGCCTCGTCATCGCCATAATCATCAACATCAAAGAGGCCTTTGGAAACGTCAGGTTCTTCCCCGCCCTATGCCGGCTACTCTGCAATTACAGAGGCCCAGCCCCCGGCCCTGGAGCTGGAGGTGGGAGGAGTGAGAGGAGGGGGGCAGGGAGAGCTGGGGCTTCTAACCAGCCAGCCAGTAGCTGTTCTTCTGGTTCTCCGTGAGGGCAGGGGCTGCGATCGGCCCCTCCATCCCCTACCCCCACGCTCCAGCTCTAGGTGAATGGAGGGCTCCCCGTCAAGTGGGGAGATGGAGATTGAGGAAGCCAACATGATCACAGCGGTTCTTGCCCCACCCCTTTTCCTTTCTTACCAGCTATGTGACTTCACCTCTTGTTTCTTCAAGGGCAAAATGGATCTAATCCTTCCCTCCTTTCTAGGTTGCTATGAGCATGGATTCAGGGCCATCCTGTGGGTCTCCCTGAAGACAGCAAAGGAAGAGCAAACGCCACCCCTGTTCGGTGGCCTGCATTTGCAGGGTGGTCAGATACAACTGGTCTCACTGTGCACCCAGCAACTTGATGTGGGGTCGGTTTTCTGAGCCAAGGTAAATAATGAAATCAAATGGTATGCGCCCTCCCAACCAGGTGGGTTTGAGATTGGGGTCTCCACTGACCATTTAGCCTGCCCTCTGGGTTAATGTTGGACAAGATTTGCAGTTGAACCTTAGTCTTCTGACACTATCCTCCAGATGGTATAAACATAGGGATGGGGTGGGGGGCGCAGAGACAATGCTGTACACACAAGCACAGCAGCAGGCAAGGGGTGCTCTGAGGCCAGTGTGGAAGCTGAGCCTTCCCTATAAAGAACCCCGTGCTGACAGGGCCAGGCTTTTTTTCCTAAAATGTCCAGGCCTGTAAGCAGCTCTCCATCCCTGGGTCCCTGTAGAGGGGAGCTCCCGCACTTGGAGCCTACTCCAGGGCAGACCCAGCCCTCCAGGCATAGTAGGTGCTCAATAAATACAAATTGGATGGACTGGAGAGATAGCCTCGAGGACACTGCCAGATAAATAACAAATTGTGCAAGCAGCAGGCCGCTGTAATTAGACCAAGGAGGACAGTCAGTTATTAATATCAGGCATGCAGCAGGCTTAACAGCCATTGAGGGTGGGTATAATGAAGAGAGTCACTTCCTGTGCCCTCAGGGACTTCCCTCATGATGGCCTTCTAAAAGGGGGGAACAGCACCAAGTGTCCTGCTGCCTCGGGATCCTGCCGCCCTCCTGGTGCCCCACAACAAGGGCCCAGGCCGCTCCCCATCCACCTCCCGCCTAGAAGCCCCACAGCCCTGTATCTGCACCTCCATTACCATGCCTATCAGTAGGGAGCCCAAATGAGAGTTCTTTATAGCTAAGCCTTATCGCCCCATGGGATCCTTAAAATTCCCAAGGGTGGCATTTATGCTGTGCCCAGTGCCATATCCCCAGTGGTGGGAGCAGAGCCCATGTCCTGCAAGGGATGCTTAATCAATGCTTGTTAAGATGGAGAATTCTGGTGAGGAGGGGATGGGGAGCAAGAGGGAATGGAAAGAAGAGAAGAGAAAGGGGGGAGAAAGGAGGGGGAGAG